GATAAATAAGAGATGATAAGAATAAAATAAAATTAGCCTAGAGCAGACTAGGAATAAGACAGGAGAGGATAGGATAGAACGGAATGGAACGGAACGGAACGGAAGAGGATGAAGAGAAGAGAAGAGAAGAGAAGAGAAGAGAAGAGAAGAGAAGAGAAGAGAAGAGAAGAGAAGAGAAGAGAAGAGAAGAGAAGAGAAGAGAAGAGAAGAGAAGAGAATATTTTCATGTGTTTGGAAACCACGCATGCAGTCATTTTAGCTGTTGAACAGTCAGATCTGGGAGCGTCACCAGCACGCGGTGCTGCGTTTGCGACGCCTCGGCCGCGTCCTCACTGGGTCCCAGCCTGCGCTGGCTTGTGCAGCCGGGCAGGGTTGACCTTGGAGCCAGAACGCTGAGCAGCGAGCGGGATAACGCACGTGCGGGAGGGCGAGCGGGGCCCTTGGCACCGCGCCGTGCAGGGAAAGCAGCTCGCGGGACGCAAACATCCCCGGTGCTCCTGATCATGAGCTTGTGCTGACCCTTCCCCGCCGTCCCCACAGGAGGACGTGAGCTTTTGCTTTGTTGCTTGTGCCTTTTCCCCTGCACAGGGATTTCCACCTCTACGGGTAAAAAAAAAAAAAAGAAAATAAAAAGACTTGCTGGGTTTTGCTCCCCTAAATGCTCTTTGAAAGCAGCTTAAAAGTAGGTTGTTTTTTTTTTTTTCCTGCTAAATTGCAGGTAAAAGCATGCAGGGACACGTCCCTGGAGAGCACGTGGGCGAGGGGAGCGTGGGCAGGGACCCGCTCAGGCTGTGCGTCCCTAGTCTGGACTATTCATGGCTTCTTCGATTTACAATTTTAAATCAAGAAGCAGAGCCTGCCCTTGCAATGGGAGTGTCCCTCTGTTTATACCCGAATTGAGTGATTTCCCACTAAATTGTCACCTCCTGTAATTTAAAGCCACCGGGATATTGGTAATTCCCACCAGGCAGCGCTGTCCCGGGGTCCGGGGAGTCCCTCTGAAATGGGAATTGAGGACAGTAAGAAGTTGTCTAGTTTTGGTTTATTTCTTTTTGTTATTGTTGCTTCTGCTGGGACAAAATAACGTGCAATATTTTCCACTGGGAGATGTCTAAACATTAAGCAAAAAAATTGCAACGGCCACTTCCGCACATTTCCAAGCTTGTGGGAAGGGCAGAAGCAGCTAATAAAGTAAGGCAGCTTAATAAAAGAAACACGAACCATGAAGCCATGTCTTTTTTAACACTGTTGTGAAATATTGTGCATTTTTCCTGACTTTTTCCCCCCTTTGTATTGCTGTGGGACCCCTTTCTATCCAGTGACCCACGGTGTCCGCCGAGCCCTTCTGCAACGGTCCCCGGTGCCAAGCAGTGGGTACCATAAACTCACCTGCCTGGGCAGATGCAGCATCCCCACTGCAGGACTCGTCTTTTGTAAATGAAAAGCAAAATTCCTGATGTGTAAAATCACCTAAATAAAATCAACCTGGCCATTGCAATGTTTTATTTTCACCAAATTTACAATCTTTTTTTTGGGGGGGAGAAACGAGTGCAGGGAAGCTTTCACCCGGCATCAAATGCCAAATCTGAATTACTTTACTCTCCAGGATAACATAGCGTCTGCCACAGCCCTATACCCGGTGTCCTTTGGTGTCTTTAGAAACAGAAACAGTTGCTCTTATAGCACCAAAACCCACCAAAACCCACCAAACGGGGAGGGCTCAGAGCATGGGGGGTGCCGCCGCTCCCCGCACCGAACCCCAAGGGCTTTCCGGGAGCAGCTCTCAGCACTTGTGTTCAAACCCCCAAAATCAGGTTTGCCCTTAAGCAACTGCTTCTGCTTGAAATCTGTAAATGCTGATTATTCGTTTTTATTTCTTTATTCCTTTTTCTTTATTATTGCCGGGGGTTGCTGTAGGAGGCAGGAGGGAAGCTCAAGCGATACACGATTTTTCCACGATATGTTTTTAAGAGAGAACTTTTAGCGCATTTAATTACCTTTAATAGCCCATTCTCCTCTCAAATTCAACTGATATAAAGAGAGGCTCCCGAACCTCATACAGTGCCTGAACCCCAGGCAGATGCTGAGGCTGGAAAACATTTTCCTACATCCCAAAGACCCACATCTGGCACGACACGGCTCCAGCCAGCCCTGCTTCAGCCTCTGCCAAACACATTGCATTGCTTGAACTTTGGGGAAACCCATTCCTTAATTCCCCACAGCTACTTGGGATCGATTTCTTTTAATTGCCAGCTAGATTAGGCAATCCATCACCAGCGTGAAGAGCTGCTCCCAGGAAAAAATAGGCTGATAAGACGTGACCGGGCAATATCATGGTGGGAATTCTTACAGAAATGGTTTATCCAGTAGGAATTGCAGGGAAACTGCTAAAACTCCCCACAAAAGGAAGTTTCTGCCCCTCTGATTTTTCTCTTTTCTAGTGCACGACTGAAAAGTGTAAAAATAATTAAAGCCAGGTCTCCAGCCCCCCCTTTGCCGCTGGGCTCAGCCCCACAGACGCTTTGGCAGATGAAACGATGCTGCTCAGCTTCACATCCCAAATCGTATCGTGCGCCGGGATAAAAACCACAGGAGGAAGCGCTGGGCTGCTGGGTGCTCGGCGTCTACTTTCATTCTTCCCAAATTACATCAGCTTCGATTTTTGCTGTATAAAATTAGGGAGGGAGGTGAAAGCTAGCTGACAGCCTCCATTACATGCAGACAACATGTGAAAGGGATTTTTGAGGCCACAGACATTTGCCGCACACACTGTCCTTTGAGCCGCTCCTGGATGCTGGAGCCAGGTCCAGCTCCGGGCTGGGACAGAGCTTTGTGAAGCCGCATGTCGGAGCAGCTTGGTCTGACTGTGCCTCAGTTTCCCCATATAACATACAGCTTATAGCAACACTGTCTATCTTGGAAAAGCACTTTTAAGGTTGCTTGGTGCCATGGGAAAGAGCAAGGAATGGATGCTGGGGGCTCATGGCCAGAAAGCCGGGAGCATCGCCCTAAAAATCAATGTTCTTGAAGTCAACGGAGCAGCGGTAGCGGCCGTCGAGGAACCTGGAGCAGATGAAATTGGGCAAACACGGGCAGGTGTGGTGCTGGCGCTTCCCGAAGAAAGGGACCTGCAGAGAGATGCAGGAGGGATGAGGACGTCAGGGCTCCGCCGCGATTAAAAAATTATCAAATGGGATCGAAGCCCTGAGAAAATCTCCGGCTCTTCTCAGAGGTTTAATGGGGCTCTGCCTGAAATTAATTTTTGATCCCTCTGAAGCCCTTCGCCGCTTCCTCGTGCGAGCAGAAGCCGCAGCGTCATTAAGTCTTGTTGCCACCGTGCACAATCAATATGGGAGCACCGAGTGGGATGTTCCCCAGGGCCGGGACGCTGCCGCGGAACCCTCACAGAGGAGGGGTCGTAGCGGCCTTGCACTGGGGGCTAATCCCAGCGCGCTGGGAATCGCGGCGCTGGGGCGGCTCTGCGCCGTTAACCCGGCTTCCCCTCGCTCGGCAGAGCATTTACGACTTAATTCGGAGCAGCGTGGCGAGCGCTTTTCCGTAAACCAATGAGCCCGGCGGCTCGGTCCCAGCTCCGAGCCGAGGTCCACAGCACCCATGGGGCATCCCGAGGATTTAGGGTGGTGCGGACGGGCAGGGGCTTGCTCAAAATACCT